GCATTTATATGATGATGATGATGATGATGATGATGATGATGATGATGATGATGATGATGATGATTGGAGATGATAATGATTGGGAAGGAAGACAATGATGAGGATGATGATTATGGTAATGATATCAATATATTTAATGAAACATGATAGCTGTCCTTGTTTTAGTAACGTTTTACGGTGCTCGCATCTGCATAAGGTCATATGAGCGCCAAGAGGTGGATGTCAACAGAGAAGTCCAAACAGTGAATCAGACTTACTCTGCTCACCTCTCTAGCCTTAACAGCACAAAGTCTGCTTCGACTGTCAAGGCACCCCGGAAATAACAGTTCACAAGCGAGTGACAAACATACAAAAGTAGTCCCTGATAGTAACAACTATATTAACTTGATTTGGGCGATCGCGTAATGACACTGGCGACATAACCGTTCCTCCCTTTTCCCCATATCACAGGAATTCAGGAACAGGTGCTGGAGGAATTGTAACCCTCGAGTCCACCGAGCCGTCTGCTGGTGTGGGGGGCGAAGTGCACGACCCAGACGTCCCCACCCAGCAGCCCGGGGAGGCGGAGGAGGAGAAGGAGGGGGAGGAGTCGGGTCACATGTCCCGGGCGGAGATAGAGAGCTCTCTGGAGCAGATTCTGGACGGTGTGAAGAAGAAAAGGGAACAGGATATCAAGATCATGGAGGAGGTGAAGAAGGAGATCATAGCCCAGGTGAGAGTTGCTGCCTCATCTGTTTGTTTCTTTGTTTGTGTGTTCGTTCGTTTTACTTCTATCGTACCTTCGTTCGTTCGTTCGTTTGTTCGTTCGTTCGTTCGTTCGTTCGTTCGTTCGTTCGTTCGTTCGTTCGTTCGTTCGTTCGTTCGTTCGTTCGTTTGTTTAGTTCTTTGTTTGCTTGGTTGTTTGAATAAAGAGAAAAGACACATAAGAACGATAGATGGAAAGAAAAAAAGTAGGGCATACCAGTGGCCTCTTCCAACCACCCACTGCTGATTGTTTTGTTTGTTTGTTTGTTGGAACAGAATTGCAAGGTCAAAATGATAGCCGTTTAGTTCAGTGAAAGAACATGATGTACAGACAGGTAAAAATAAAGTTAAGTCGTTCCCGCATCCGATCCGGACATTGGGGATTGCCTCGTTAGT